GTGCTAAAGGCCCAAATTGCAAGTACTTATTCTAAAACATGGTGTTTCTTAGAAGTCTTCAGACTGTTTGAACATTCTAAGAGTGCTGTTTCCACAGCCTTTTTCTCAGGAGTGGCTGCAGTATTTTGACTGAAATTTTCCAGGAAAATTCAGGGGAGGGCAGACCCATGGCACAGACTATGAGGGCTTTTTCATTGGTATAAGTGATTGTCCTGGGTTCAGCAGTAGCAGTCATTTTTCTCCTCCTTGGTAGCTGGTGCAGTGCAGTGTTTTGACTTTCAGCTCGGGAACAGAGCTGATAACAAGGATGTTTTGGTTTGGCCAAGGACTTTGTGAGCCTCATGCTCTGCCAGGGAGGAGGGGAAGCCGGGAGGAAGCAGAGACAGGACACCTGACCCAAACTGACCAAAGAGGTATTCCATACCACAGCACGTCATGCCCAGGATGTAACTGGGAGTTAGCCGGAAGGGCTGGGAGACTGCAGGGTTGGAGGAGGTATCGATAAGAGCTTGGTTGGGCGGGGGGGGGGAGTTATCGGTCGGCTGGTGCTGAGGTGTTGTATTCTCTTCCCTTGTTATTTCCCTCATCATTATTGGTGGTAGCAGCAGTGATTTGTGTTATACCTCAGTTACTGAACTGTTCTTACCTCAACCCGTGGGAGTTGCATTCTTTTGATTCTCCTCTTCGTCCCTCCGGGAGTAGGGGGTGGGGAAGAAGGGGGGGGGGGGGGCGGGAGTGAGTGAACGAGCCCTCTGCCTGGTTTTAAGCCACGACATTGATTGAAAATATGGTCGTTAGTAGAGGCACTACTTCAGCCTTAGTTTCATAATATTCTTTCAGGGGAAGCTTTTTCTGTCCTTCAGGTGTGTATTTCTTAATTCTTCTACTTTTTAATACCTATTCCTTAAAGCTTGTTAATCAATTCATCTTTATCATTATGGTTTTAATACTTCATTAAGCAAGCAAGGACATGAGAACACTTGACATTTGAAGTCTGACCATAGATACATACTCTGAGAGTATATAATTTGTGTTTTTCCTAATGTTTCATACTATTCTTAAATAAATGAACTAAAAATCCAAGTGAATATGTCTTTTGAATAAATTTAATAAATGTGAAGAATAACATTTTGATTTCTTTGCATTGGAAGTGGATTGAGCAAAGATGTAAATAACTTCATCTTTCCTAGAATCAGGTAAGGGAAACTAGAAGTAAGGTGTGCTGTGCTGAACCTCTTCCTTTCCCTCCCACCTCCCTCCCACCTTGTTTTTTCACAGAGGTTTTAGCTCAGTGCTGTAGTTGGGAAACTCAAGGCTTCCAAAGACATTCAACCTTGAAAAGTTTGTAAGGACTCCATAGCTGTAGACACTAGATCAGAGATTCCTAACCAAGAACATCTGCTTAAGAACTCACATTCAAAGGGATTTTGAAAAGCTATGCTGACCTGATTCATAGTCCTCATTGTGTCCCATTATTACATTCCTATCACAGTTCCATTTGAAACCCAGCAGAGAAAAGATAGTTACCAGAGTCCTTTTTAGTAAAAATATTATGTAGGAAGAACCCAACTTGATTATAAGATTGCCAAGCTTTGTAGGAAAATCGTTTGTGTTTGCAAAACAGCAAAATTGATGTTGAACTTTGCAATATTTAGCAAAGAACTGTCTTTTCCCCAGTCTCTTTCAACACAGAATTTTGCTGTTGTCTGTGTTCCATTAAAAGCTGAATTTTAATTAAAAGCCTGTGTTTTTTAGTTATTTCAGACAATGTAAAAGCTCACATTGGAGAAGATTTTTTTTTTGTCTGGATTTTAGGTTTGTTTATAGCACCTTGCTTCAGAATTGCCATTTTCATGCTTGGCAAGCTAGTCTTTTTAAAACCATATTAGAAATATTTCAATTAAGTTTTTATCTACTAACTATACAGGGAGCCATGGAATCCTTACTATGCATGGATTTTTTTTTAGAGAGGTCCTGGATATCTGTTAGGTATTTAGAACATACTGTGCAGCATTGCCCATTGTTTCTGAAGTGTTGTGAACACTTGAAATCAGTCCTAGATATAGTTGCAATGAAAATATACATGAACTAGTAGGCATGAATAAATCTTGCCTTTATGAATGGAGTGCTATGTTTTAAACCTGGTTGTGTCCAATGATGTAGTTGCATTTTTGAGGGGAAGTTGGGGGGCCAAGAGGTTGAAAAGATGAAAGTACTTCTGAAATCGTGGAAATGGTTTTGTCCCCTAAATTTGAGAAGTGTTTTCTGAACCTGGCATGTTTGTTTCTACTGTGATAAACGCAATAGAGTATAGCAAGCTGGTGTGGTATATGTTGTTCAGTGTGTGGCTGTGCAAAACATTCAGTGCTCTTCTACCAAATGTGAAATATGTGAAACACTTTTAGGGAAAGATTAAATGTAAAAAGTTTCTGAATATCGTTTATAAAGTTTTAATGTTTTTTTCTGTATAACCTTATTTGTCTTTCCCTGGACTTGGAATACCATGCACAAAGACTTTGGAGGCACAAGAAGAACTGAAAACTACTTCTTTTTTAAAAGTGCAGATTGAAGATTTGGCAGTGGCATATGGCCCTTTATTCCCAGGTACTGCCTTGAGTTAAGGCAGAGCTGATAGTGATTTAGATTGGTTATACTTCTTGTCCTCATTTTGTATAGTAGAGCCATCAAATGAAGGCCAGATCACAGTTTAAGATCTGAAGATCAGATTTCAGTTTAACTGAGGGGTCTAGATTGAGTGAGTGTGGAGGCTGACTGACCTTCCCATAGGGCCCATATAGCAGAGCTTTTTGATTGTTGTGTATTGGAGACAAGGCACAAAGCTTGTCCTTCTATACATCCTAAGCAGCTAAATGAAATATTTTGTCCTCCAGACCTCATGATGGCATTAATTAAAATAGAAATATTTTCACTCTTTGTCCAGTTCTTAGCAAAACCTTGCTCATCTGCTTTATTAGCTGTTACATTAGAATGAACAGTACAGAAAAGGGGATCTGTTTTATCCTGTCTGCATACTGTGTTTTCCTGTTACCAAAATGTACCCTAGCACCATTTTAAATGGAGGGAATGAAAAGGAAGCACTTCTATTAGTTTTGTAAGTGGCTGAAGACATTTGGTAATATTTGCTGTGTGTGGAAGAAGTTGGAACTGGGGAAGGATATTAACAGACCATGGAGAGCACATATGCATCATAAACTGTTTCATAATTTAATGTCTGTCATTTAGGGGAGTCCATCATATAAATTAATGCCATGCAGACTGCAACAGCAAACTGCTTCAGTTTTCTTCATTAAAATGTTTGAGCTTTAATAGCAAGTGGCTGTGATGACAAGTTCTAGATCTCCTAGGAAACTATGGTATGATCCAGTAAAGTCTGTCACTCGCTGCAGTCTTGCTTATGGTCTGTGGTTTTCTTTTTCTGTAGGAATAACATTTACCTGGGATGGCTGTGCGAATAAGCCCTTCAGAAAGGATATGGATATAGTATTCTAGCATTTATTTGCAATTACTTGTAATAAGACATTTATTGCAGCATTTACTATATCAAAGGCACTAAATGGAATTAGCTGGGAAAAAGTTCATTATTCACAAAAAACTATTTTTTCAGATGTTTATGGTCAACAGTATTTACATTAGAAATGAAGTTTGAATGTAAAAATTCTAGGGCTGTATTTTTTTTCCTTTAATGGCTGCTTAACCCTGAAATGACAAATTCATTTCCACTTCTCAGTACACACTTGAAAGATACCATGTCATGTAAACTGGTGATTTCCAGTAGCTAGCAGTGCAAAAAGGAGCAGGGGCGTTTGTAGCATCCCCCTGCCTCCATCAGGAACTGCTTCTGCATACTTAGGTTTTCATTCTTGACTCATAACTCTGAACTGCCAGACTGATCATTTAAATGGTAACTGCCAGTTGATAGGCAGAAGGAAGGACGTTTGTGTCCCTATGAATTATTACATAGCATATCAAGATGTTGCCTCGTAACATTTTGTTAAAATGCCATGATTTCCTAAACATTTCAGTTATCCTGAAAAGCATGTTGAAAACGGATCCATTTGCAAGTTTATAGACATCTATTAATGTGTATTGATGATAAATTATAATGAATAATTTACTTGATGAATTGCACCTTTTTCTTAGTGAAATATCTTCTAGGACCTGCAACTTTCTCAGATTAATATTTTTTCTTTTTATTTAAGATGTGCTTGTGTGATTTGAGCTGAGTGTGGGTGCTCCCTTACTGCTTTTTCTGTTCTGAGGCTGGGTACTCATAAGAGTATTGCCATATAAGCTTGAGCTGCTGTTTTGTGCAGCATAGCAAGGGCTGCCTTTTATCATAGTGTATGAGCACACAGGTCACTCTGGGGTAATTTTGAGTTGGTTTGCTACATGGGAAACATCCTTGTGCATGTTCATACCCTGATAAATCCAAGAAAAAATACAAGATAGATTGCATTTGTTTTTGCTGAGCGATAAACTACCTCACCCTTTTATGAGCTAAAAACATGCAGAGTTACCATGGAATAATTGATGAAACTTAGCTTTCTCTGCAGTCAAGTGTGTATGTGTTTAGTGTCTCTCTCATAAACTTGCTTCAGAATGTAGTATCATCAAGTAATTTCTGGAACAAATATGGGAAGTAAGGGTTTTTCCTTAATCTGTGTCCAATGTTATTTATAGAGCTAAGGGTATCTGTTCTGGATTTGTTTTGGTAATGCTTTGAAGCATCAGGATGCATGCTTTTTATTCAGCTCTCACCAATAAAATTGTATTTCTCCTCATTATCCATAGGGGTCTAACCTGCCTAGTTTCTGGTGTGAATACTTGAAAGATGCAAATTAAAAATTCACATTCTATGTTCATTTATGCTGATGAAACTCAATTAAATGAATATTACTGTAAAACAAAGAAAAGAAAGTAGTAAATGTAGCCAGGACAAATGCATTTAAAATTTCTATTTTTTTTTTCTTTTGCAGTATTTGCTGTCTCTTTCAGAAATCCCAAGTGAACATATGAGTTACCAGAAAATGGATGAATGAGTAACCTCTAGAGGCCGAGTTCAGTTGGGGAAAATTCCAAGATACCAGGATATGGAGAACAGATATCAGTGAACGTTAACAACACTGCAGTGTGGAGAAGAGAGTTAGGATTACTCGAGGCTCACATAACAACATACGGTAAGTACAGTTTGAAAGTTAAAGGGGCTCCCTTAGGCAGAAAATCTTTGAATACTGTAGCTTTAAACAAAGTAATTTTCATACATACTGAATCTGAATCTCAAAGCAAACTTGATCTGCATAAAATTCAGCCAGAGATTCTCCTAATAAGTTCAAAGTAAGGCTTAATGAAATTATACCTTGATGCAGAAACCTTTGGCATTTTTGTGACTAACAGTATTTTAGGAGCTATATGGATTGAAATAAAACTGTTGTGAAGGCACTGAACATTGTGAATTGCAGAATATTTTGTTATTTGGCAAAAGTGAAAAGCAGGTGTGAAAAACATGGCTGAGTTAAGCTAAAATGGGCATTACCTGGTGTCTTGGTCTTGGTTTTTTTTTTTTTGTTAATTTATTTAAATAAAAAGAAATAAAACCTTTTTGGGGGAGTCAGCTGAAAATCAACTCAGGTCAGTTCTGTAAAGGAATACAAAGATTGAGATGTTTTGCTTGGAACAAATAATACATTAAAAAAGAAACCACTCTGTTTAGAAATGCTAGAAATCAGTGTTCAGCATTTCTTGATATTTCCCTCTTAATTTTTTAGGCTGTCACATGCTTTTTCAGTCAAGTCACTGTTCAGTGGGTATTTTTCCAATTTTTTGTTGATTGACATGAGGGAGCATGTATATTGCTAATATAAGTCAGCAAGTTATCTTTAATAGTTAACTTTACTAGTTCCTTAGCACTCTAATTCACACTTGGCAGTACAGATCTATGCCTTTCAGTTTGAAAAGCAGTGGCCTATGGCCTTGTACTTAGTGATTTAAAACCGCTTTGTGGTGTACGGTCTTTAAAACTTTTATGTATTTTAAAACTCAAGTGGGACAAAATATCTGTTTTCAGCCTCTTGAACAGTGAACTCAGTCTCTGTTCTCTTTAACTGTTATGATATCAAAACCAGTAAGAATTTGATGAGCTGTGATAATATACTGATGATAAAGTCATGGAAAGTGCCAGATTATGTGATTTCTTGCCATTTTTTATATCAGAACTGTCATTTGAAGGTCTAATAGAATATTTGCTTTCCGTTAGATGATCATGTTCTGTTTGTTTCCTATGGGGCACCTGTTTGTTTTCATAATCTCTTTGCATCTGTTATGAAGTGATTATGTATTTAGGGCCTGTTTTGTGTCAGAGTAAATTAGTAATGATTCTAAAGGTGTCATTGACACTCTGGCAGTGTTAAACCTGCATGTGGCAAGAGTACCAAAATGCCTGTTCTGATAGGTACAGTGGATGAGCTGCTGCTTTTTGTTACTGAAGAACCTCAGGCTTTTTTATTGGCCTTGTAACAGTCATACATGTTTAGAAGACCTTTTTTGACTCATGGTTAGCTATTATAATTAGAATATAGAGATAACAATGCAGAATATATTTTCTGTGTATATTATTCTGTGCAACTGCAGCACTTCTACTAGTTTAGATTCTACTAGGGCACAAATTTAGGGAGTAGATTTACCTTAGGATGCCTGTTAGTATTTCCTAAAGCAATTTGTGGCCTTTCTTGTGTGGTATTGATCAACTGCCTAGTAAGTTAAATGGTGGCAGCTTAATCATGTAAACTTCTGCTTTCCCTGGGGATTACGTGTTCTACTTCTGGGAGTCAATGCTGTAATATATCTCTACTTTTGGCAGAGAAATCAGCATCCTGATTTCTGACAGTCTTTCAGTCAGTTTTTCTAAGCTTTCTACTACAGAGCAGTACACAATTATGGAATCCTTAAGAGATTTTGTTGCTGCAATTTTTTTCTTGCTGCTGTGATTTCTGTAGCCTATACAGGTTTGCCCTTCACTTGTTTTCATGTTGGCTGTTTTGAGAAGTCAGAGAACCCTTCTGTTGCTAAGCTAGTCATCTGCACAGGTGATCTATCTGTAGATTTCTGAGGAAAAGTCAAAAGACAACATGTCAGCTTCTCAGTTCTGGAGAAATTATCCCACATTACCTTGGCAGTGCTAATAGTTTACAACATTCATGGCCTGTAATGGGCTGTTTGCCTTAAACGGCTTTGACAGTTTTGTTGAACTTAACACGTATTCAGCTAAGGGATGATCTCTCTTCACGACATCACTTGCCATTTGAATAGGTCACATTTTGATAAGAGATATTTGATTTGCTGACTGTGAAACTGCTGTATAAATCTTCCTTTATGCTTACATATTCTTCAAAAGATCCACTGTACTATTCTGAGCAAATATCTAAGTATTTGCTGCTGAAAGGCATGTAAGAACACCTTTCTCTATTTCTGAAATACTTTGGTGACATCTGCCACATTAAGTTTACATCCAAAATGAATAATGCAGTGATGATTTCATTCCATGGTCTTATTGAACTGGAGTCTGGCTTTGTGACAAGTGGAAAAGAAAAAGTGAAGGCAGAGCGCCTGGTGGGAGGTCTTCAGTGGGGTTTTGAAGGTTATGCTATCAAGGATGAGGAAGTGAAGATCTACTCTATGCATTGGCCTCTTTGACTGCATTATATCCAGGTCTGGAAGTGAGCATGTGTTAATTTCACTGGTATCAGGTCAAGCTCTACAGGTACTTCTGCACCTCTCAAACAGAGATTGCCTCTGAAACCGATTCTTCGTACAATGTTATGTCTTCCGATCACACATTGGAATAAAATTGGAGGAAATAATATTTAGAAGAAAAAAAATAACTGCTGGTATAATGGATGGAGCTTGCTTATGCTCTACTAGTATCATCATGATAGTATTTGTAGGGCTGCAAGGAAGAAATGTTCTTGTTAAGTGTCACACTGCAGAATGATCTGGAATTTTCTACAGGAATAGGATGTCTCTCACCAGCTGTCTTGAGATAGTAGGTGTTGGTTGTGACAGTGCAGGCCAGCAGAATTAGGTGATGCATCATCAGCATTGTAACGTCTGTTATTTTGACAGCAGTTCACCTGTACTAGGATCTCTGTATAGAGTTCAAGGCCTATAAAAGTTTGTGCAAAGAGAAAAAAGCAAAATATGTTTAGAACAAGTACTGTCAAGTAAAATTCTCTAATGGTCAATATAAGGTTAAAACAAAGCTGTCTGTTCACACACAGAGGCATTTGAAGCTAGGGACCAGGTTAGGAAAGCTAAGGCTCAGTTAGAATTAAACTTAGCTAGAGGTATTAAAGATAACAGGAAGGGATTCTACAGGTATGTAGCAAATAAAAAACAGACTATGGAGAATGTAGACCCCCCCAGGAAGCTCTCGGGAGAACTGGGCTACACAGGACTTGGAGAAGGCTGAGGTTCTGAATGGCTTCTTTTTCTCGGTCTTCACTGGCAAAGGCTCTGACCACACCACCCAAGTCTTGGAAGGCAGGTGCAGGGACTGTGAGAATGAAGATCTTGCGCCCACTGTAGGAGAGGAACTGGTTTGAGACCATCTTAAAAATCTGAACGTGCACAAGTCCATGGGTCCTGATGAGATCCATCCGTGGGTCCTGAAGGAGCTGGCAAATGAAGTTGGGAAGCTGCTGGCCATCATATTTGAAAAATCATGGCAGTCAGGTGAAGTTCCTGATGACTGGAAAAAGGGAAATATAACCCCCATTTGCAAGAAGGGGAAAATGGATGACCCGGGGAATTACAGACCAGTCAGTCTCACCTCTGTGCCTGGTAAAATCTTGGAGCAGATTCTCCTGGAAGGCATGCTAAGGCACATGAAAATCAACAAGTTGCTTGGTGACAGCCAGCATGGCTTCACTAAGGGGAAATCCTGCCTGACCAATTTGGTGGCCTTCTATGATGGGGCTACGGAACTGATGGACAGGGGTAGAGCAGTTGATGTCATCTGCCTGGACTTGTGTAAAGCGTTCGACACTGTCCCACACAACATCCTTGTCTCTAAATTGGAGAGACATCAATTTGATGGATGGACCACTCGGTGGATGAAGAACTGGCTGGATGGCCGCACACAAAGAGTTGTGGTCAATGCTCAATGTCCGGCTGGAGACCAGTATCGAGTGGTGTCCCTCAGGGATTGGGGTTGGGACCGGTCTCGTTCAACATCTTCGTCACTGACATGGACAGTGGGATTGAGTGCGCCCTCAGCAAGTTTGCCGATGACACCAAGCTGTGTGGTTCGGTTGGTACCCTGAAGGGAAGGAATGCCATCCAGAGGGACCTTGACACACTTGTAAGGTGGGCTGATGCCAACCTCATGAAGTTTAACCATGCCAAGTGCAAGGTCCTACACCTGGTTTGGAGTAATCCCAGGCACAGCTACAGGTTGGGCAGAGAAGAGATTCAGAGCAGCCCTGTGGAGAAGGACTTGGGGGTGTTGGTTGATGAGAAAATGAGCATGAGCTGGCAGTGTGTGCTTGCAGCCCAGAAAGCCAACTGTATCCTGGGCTGCGTCAAAAGAAGCGTGACCAGCAGGTTGAAGGAGGTGATCCTGCCCCTCTACTATTCTCTTGTGAGATCTCAGCTGGAGCATTGTGTGCAGTTCTGGTGTCCTCAACATAAAAAAGACATGGAACTGTTGGAACAAGTCCAGAGGAGGCCACGAGGATGATCAGGGGAGTGGAGCACCTCCTGTATGAAGACAGGCTGAGAAAGTTGGGGCTGTTCAGCCTGGAGAAGAGAAGGCTGCGTGGAGACCTCATAGCAGCCTTCCAGTGTCTGAAGGGGGCCTATAGGGATGCTGGAGAGGGACTGTTCATTAGGGACTGTAGTGACAGGACAAGGGGTAGTGGGTTAAAACTTAAACAGGGGAAGTTCAGATTGGATATAAGGAAGAAATTCTTTCCTATTAGGGTGGTGAGGCACTGGAATGGGTTGCCCAGGGAGGTTGTGAATGCTCCATCCCTGGCAGTGTTCAAGACCAGGTTGAATGAGGCCTTGGGTGATATGGTTTAGTGTGAGGTGTCCTTGCCCATGTCAGGGGGGTTAGAACTGGATGATCTTAAGGTCTTTTCCAACCCTAACTATTCTATGATTCTATGAAGCCTGCCCTGGA